GGGAAAATTTTGACAAATTGATAAAACAAGAATAACAGCAGTCTCGTTTAATAAAAGTCATCATTTTGTAAGCTCTATGATCGATACAATGGCCCTGTCAGCAAATACAATCATTTAATGAAATGCTGACTGATGTTTCTCATACTTATTGTTAGTCCATTGTTTAAACAGTGAATTGACGCCTGTTTTTTCCCGTTATTTTCAAATCATGACAAGGAGCACACGGGGGTTTGACCGGTCTACAGGTAATGCTCATTCCTCCATGGCACCTGATCTCACCTCTTATGTTTTAGGTATTTGTTCCTTCCTTTTTGTTTACATTTTTGAAAAATAGATTTTTGAGCTTGAATGCTGTTTGATATCTCCATTTATTTCATACTTATTCGATGAAAATTTTGATCAAGTCAGGAAGGGTGCTCAATTATGAAATTGTTCCCTGTAAACACGATGGACATCATTCTTTCTACCTAATTATCAAGAATGTTATATAACTAACTTAAGAAACTCATACAACATCTCAAGAAAAGCCCTTTTCACTCTTTATTTAATATGAATTTTCTAATTTTTTTTCAAATAATTTGTTCATTTATTCATTGATATTTCAATTATATTTCAAAGAACAAATAACTTAAATGCGATATAAGTGATGTAAAATTAATAAATAGTATGTGAATATACGATTGTTGCAATTAAAGTAAAATAAATACCTTTATCAATAAATATTGCTTTTTTATATTACTGCATTAAAACACTGAATTACTTAATATTAAGTAAAAACGTGAAACTATAGCAAAATTTAGTAAACTTTTATTAACTACTACACAGTATTACCTACAAGAAGGTGCTTTCGAAAGGTACGTCATATTTCGTCCTAAAATATCTTAGAACTAATTATTGACTAAGACATATGTATAATAATATATCAGGTCTCTCCAACATTTGAAATTTTACTGTTTTGCATGAGTGTTTTTGTGATCTAATTGGCAACTGAACCACTAATCATAGTGTTATATGAAACGGATTTTGAATACCCTAAAGGTTATCTAATTTAATGAAATTTACATCTTTAAATTTTTATGACAAATTTTCAAAGATCCCAAAATTTGAAAAATCGAACTGATATTCTTTTCATTAGGTATTTATTAATAAAATTCATTTCATTATAAAACCTAAGCATACCAAATTGTGACTTGGAATAATTGCTTCCCTAACATATTTGATAGTAATACTTACAGACCCTAAACCGTGCTACTACACCTCAGAAACGAACCGTACCGTTCCGTGCAGAAAGCATACCGTACCGTGAGCAAAGCGTACCGTTCCGTGCACAAAGCGAACCGTTCCGTGCAGAAAGCGTACCGTACCGTGAGCAAAGCGTACCGTTCCGTGCACAAAACGTACCGTACCGTTCTTAAAGCGAACCGTTCCGTTCACAAAGCATACCGTACCGTCCACAAAACGTACCGTTCCGTGCAAGAAACAACCGTACCGTTCTTAGGTTAATTATGCAAACCACGCCCCCAATGATTTTTGAATCGTGTAATGACCAAATAAGTCATTTTGGTTTATTTCTCGCTACGGCGCCTATGAAAGGAGGACAGAGGTTGTGTCTGCCTGTTCGAAACACCATTATCAAGTATCATGCGTCTTGGCCTTCAACTGAAAAAATAAAGACACTACTCGAAGCAAACTATAGCTACAACTTTAAAACAACTAGACAGAGTGAGACGATTCCTTATTTGCTATAAATTAGATCAACTGGTTGTGTGTTGTGATCAAAGGTACAGTACAGGCCACGAGTTTTTTTCCCGCAACGTACGGGGCACAGTGAACTTTGAACAATGTCGGCGTCTTTGAAGTCTTTCATTTTCTTTATATTAGCAAATTAAATCAATTTCTTTTTGAAATATTAGTTGCATTTAAATATTCGTAATATAACTATACAGATATTTAAACTAATATTATAAGATGCCCCAAAATTCAATATAATCGTGTTCGTGCCCGGGGAAAAAACCCTCTTTAATGTGTACATGTACATTCATGCTTCATAATCCTATAATTATATTTGACATAAAAATAGGTTCAATAGACTATAATACCACTAAGATAGAACACACTTTCATGAATTAATTCCCTGAATTGTCTCTACTTTTGATTTAAATTTTGCTCATTTAAATTATTAAATCTTATCACATACTTGTAAGATCGTTTTTCTCGTAAGTATGCAATCATATATGTAGTACATATCAGATGCGTGATTTTACAAATAATTTTTTTGTAAGAATTTTAAAACATATATAAACTGTCTAAAGTAAAACTTAAAAAAGAACCATATTAGACTCTCACATTAATTCTGTTAAGATTTTTACAATAGGCGAATCATTGGTGCAGTTATACTTACACTGAAGATCTGCAATCATGTAAAATATGGATTAAAATATTACATGCGGTAAACATGAAGATTTCTACTGAACTGACAGAGATGATAATCTTGCTAGCACGCTGCATATAAAATTTTCCAGCCGAATTTCTGCAAAGTGCAGTATAAATATTACTTCATTCTGAAATACAACTCATGAAAAATAAAAAAAAACAGTTTGCGAAAAAAATAAAGATATTATAAGGTTTGTTACACTGTATCCCCATCCCTTTTGCAAAAGCAATACGAATTAGCTGGTTAAAAATTCTTTAGAAGTCTGCAAAATGGTACGTTGTTGTAAATAAAAAAAAATCAAAATCTACAGGAAACATCCTTATTAGTGTCTGAAAAAACATAATTTACTAAATCAAATGAAATTTAAAAAAAATATTAATCCTCTTTCAAGCCATACGAGTTATGTTTGTTACCCCCCCCCCTCCCCCTCTCTTGAGGGCAATACTTATGCAACTTTATGTGACTTTAAATTGTGCTTTGAAAAAAAAAAGAAAATTATAATTGGGGATACATGCTTATTTTTTCTGAGAAATGATAATTTAGGAAGTAAATTTGTAATCAGTGTGGTGGTGAAACCTGGAAGATGAGTTTGCTGGATGTCAGTTGAATGATTAAATACACTTGATGTGGTCAGAACTAAATATTTTGAAAGGTGTGTTAAACACACGCCGCCTCCGACCCTCCGGCTGTGACCCAATATATTTTTTAAACAGGTGTGAACTATGAACTGACCATAAGAATGTTTCAAATTGGAGAAATTCTTCTTGCGTAAATAGACTTTCAGGGTCACCTAGCGTCATGCCATTTTGATTGACAGGTGATGCACAAGGATTTCATGCGTGCAGCAGCATGTACAGAAAACGGATTATTCATTGCACAATTGTTGTAAATGGGTTGATTAAATAGAATCATAGACTGATTAATTGTGACTTTGGCGATGTAAATAAAACGAAGAATGAGAATGAATACAATTTTTTTTTAAGATAATGTATTAAGGGGTTGCATTTTTCTCTCTCTGTCCCCCCCTCTCTCTCTCATTCACGAGATCGTTTTTACAGACTTTACAAGAATAAGATAACTTAATAAAATAAAGAAAAACTTATTAAAATAATTACTTAATACACTGAAGGGATTATTGATAACATAAATACTTGTCTGTGAAAAGAATTTCTGTTACGAGAAAGCGCTCGGAAGTTATTGTATTGATTTCGTGTTTCTGCCGCTGATTTTCGTATTTATTTTGTTTACTGATATTTCCCTTCTGAAGCAAACGTTTAAACGATAGATCTTCAATTTTCAAAATAAAAAACAATGTACATATCTAATCACTAAGAATAAAAATGAAGCAGGGATAGTCATTTATTTCTATAGATCAATCAATGAAAAATAATTTATATATGTGCGTAGCGTTATATGTATAGAACAAGTATATACCAGGTATATATCAATTCCTTTAAATTATGTTACAACTTTATTTTAGAGTGAAAAAATATTTCATTTTTTTTCTTTTTAAAATGAAGGTTTAGCATTACGTAAAAAATAAGCACGGAAATATATACGAGTTTTATATATATTAATACATATCTATACATAATGCCAAAGACATCGGTGGGATGATGTTTTTTCTTCCTTTAATTTTTTTTTCATTTTTCCTCCATCACCACTGTAGTGTAAATTTATGTTTAAATTGAAACTGAGAAATTAATTTGTTAATAGCGGAAATATAATTATATACGTGCATTAAGTACTTCAAAAGTCATTTAAAATGAACTAATTTTTAGCAGCCAATCAAGAATTAAAGCTAACAGGCTCCGCCCACTTCATTTGCATACCGTTTCCCAAAGCGTACCGTTCACAAAACAAACCGTCCGTGCAAGAAACGAAACGTACCGTCCACAAAGCGTACCATTCCGTGAACAAAGCGAACCGTTCCGTGCACAAAGCGTACCGTTCCGTGCACAAAGCGAACCGTTCCGTGCACAAAGCGTACCGTACCGTTCACAAAACGAACCGTTCCGTTCACAAAGCGTACCGTTCTGTGCACAAAGCGTACCGAACCGTACCGTTCAAGTGCTGTAGTAGCACGGTTTAGGGTCTGTACTAGAAAACATGTATATTGCAAATTTGCTTTATACCGGCATACACTGTAGTTATACGAATTCTTGGTCCGGATAAAACAAATTGCAGATTTAATTATAACCAATTAAATTTACAGATCCCAAGGACTTTGATATAACCTTTAATTTTTTACTGTATTTAAAATGCAAAAAGCGAGTATATCGTTACAGAAAAAGTAAAAACAAAATAGTTATCTTTGTTGCTCCATGCGTAAATCCGGGCAAGGGTTCAGACGATAATTGATTATGTAGAGTGAAGCATTACAAAGAAACCTAACTAAGGGTGAAATAAAAGTTTATTATTCAATATTTTCCAAATAAAAGTCAAAAACTTTCCTCTTGTCTAGTTTGTTTCTTTTCTCCTTCTTATTTTTTCTATCTTCATTTTTATTAAAACAACTTTCCTCTAAGCTGCATTATTTAACAAAATTGTCAATGTACATGTGACCACGAATAATTAGTGAACCTCAATATACTGAGAAACATTCGATAATCCGGTGTAATGCTGTTCATTTGTGTCATTTACTTGACTTGGATTTAATGTGGTATAGGCTGACGTTGGACGACCGGTTGCCACTACAGTTGATGAATTGCTTGTATAGTTCTTCTTGTTATTGTCAGAAGAATGTGTTCTGAAAAGAAATAAATGTCATTGATTAAAATATAGGATATTCAATCAGCTTAACTGAGGGTTATATATTCTGATTTGATGGATTTCTAGCATTTCCAAGATTACCCTTCCATTCATTTAGTACAAAATTTCGAAATAAACAACAAAATATATTCAAAGCAATACTGTACCTTTCCTTAATTCTTATAATATAGATGATTAAGAAGATGACGATTCCAGTTAATATAACGACTAGTATACCACAGATTACCACTCCAGTCAGCAGTCCTTGGTTATTCAAGGAATCTGAAAATTTAGTAATGTAGAAACTTTGAAATATAAGACTTCAGTGGATTTTTCAAAAGATAACCTGAAATTTATCTTAGAAATAAATGTGACAAAAATTGTTCTTTTTTTAAAATTAGAATCATTTTATATGCTAGTAGTTTTCTATTCAGTTTCAGACGTAAGATCTTTTTTTAAACACAAGATTAGAGGGAACTTTAAAAAACGGAATATATTATTCTTATAATGAAAAATCAGATAACTTACTTATGTCATAACCTATTTTATAGACAAGAAATTTAGCACGACATAAAATGATAAAGTAAAACTAAAAGGAAAACACACGTACACTTATATCAACAAGCCATCTACCTTTTAAACCATTTTATGATACCTTGTAAAACCAGACATTTGAATTTAGTATCAATACCTTCACCAGATATCATGCGCATGATTCTAAAATTTCTTTTGGGAAAAAAATATACAAAATATCTTTGAGGGGCTTAAATTTTACTTCGTTGGCTCAAAGAATTAAAAAGAAAAAAAAATCTGACAAAGGAACAACATCTAATTACAGAAAAAGCTATTAATTTATACCGGCAGGTGTAAGAATATAGGAGGGAGGGGTTTATTGACAATTATAATGATTACATATACTGTTTTAAAACTCTCTCTCTCTCTCTCTCTCTCTCTCTCACTCTCTCTCTCTTTCTCTCTCCAATAATAGAATGTATTGTTTCTGCATGTTCATAATAATAGATATACGAAGTAAACACCAAATTCCACCCCTGTTCCTACTCGATTCACACACACATACACTTCTAATTTGCTAACCAATGTGCAAATGCAAACCAGGAGCTTTTAATGAATCTATGCTCAGTCTTTGGAAATTAAAAGATGTTATCGGTTACATATCTAATAAGACTGACTTATAAGAAGGCACGCCAATCAAAGTTAAATTAACGTTTATAAGTACAATGTTTCCAATAAAATGTTTGAAACAGAAACCGAGCTGAAAAAAAGACACACATAGATTTAGTAATATTTGTAAACGGTGTAACGTTAGCCTAATTGTAATTGTTCTAACTACCTGGGTGATTGCAATGTTCACAAGGTTGTCAGACATTTTGGAGAGAATGTTTAAATAAATGTTTAAAATCTTGGGAGTAGTGCTTTACAGTTAAGTATTGATCGTATGGTAAATTCTTTGGACGGTATTCTTGCGGGTTTTCTTTCTACTTGCACCATTCATCACATTCTGAATGATCACCATGCAAACACATGAATGACAAGGGATCAAATCCAATTTTTTCTTCACTTGTACAGGATAGGTATTAGATTTCACAACATATACAAAGCAGCTTGTCAAATGTTTGAGAGATAAACTTGTACATTGTTAACAACGAATATTTGTGCTTTTACAAAATATAATTTTTTTCAAAAAGGAAGTAATAAATATTGGACAAGCATTTCTCTAATTTGAATATCTTTAAAGCATAATTAATTGTTTTGAAAGTAAACCCAATAAAAAAAAAATGCGGATTGATTCGTTTATCATTGTGTACAACGAATATTCGTGCTTGTACATTGTTAACAACGAATATGTCCTTTTTCAAAATTTAGATTTTTTTAAAAGGAATTAATGATGAATATTTGACAAGCATTTCTCTGATTTGAAGATCTTTAAAGCTTAATTACACATACAGATCAAAAACTATGTTTGGCTGCTTACCTGTCGCTTTCCTTTGAGGTATTTCAAAACCTGAGTCCTGAAAAAAAATTATCCAAAAGTGAAATAGATTGATAAATTGTTTGACCAAATGTTATTCACGCAAAACCATAGCACATTACATACTTATGCTTTTCAATTTTAATTAAAATCATATTTGCTTATTGAAAAAATGTATGTTATCTAAAAAAAGTTAATGAAAATCAGAAGCAATAAGGGACATAAACTTTCATGAATGTTTTGTTCTTTTATGTCTTCTCTGAAATGTGATTGTTGGTAAGTT